CGGGTCCCGGTCCGCCCGAGCGGGCAGGGGGCGGCGGCGCGGCCCGCTGGGTCCGCCTGAACGTAGGCGGCACCTACTTCGTGACCACCAGGCAGACCTTGGGCCGGGAGCCCAAGTCCTTCCTCTGCCGTCTCTGCTGCCAGGAGGATCCGGAGCTGGACTCGGACAAGGTGCGCCCCGCCCTCGGGCGCGCCCCCGGGCCTTCGAATCCCCAGTCCTAGGACCCCCCCCTCTTCACGGACAGGCAGCTCAAGCTGGGGTCCATTTCCCCTCGACCCCCAGGGACCTCAGGGAGACTCCCGTGTTATCCCCATTCTTAGGCTTTCTTGTGACCCCGCCCTGCGTTCTCAGCGACTTCTTCCCCGCATACTGTGCCCAACCACCCACGAAAACCCACCCAACACCCCTTCTCCAAATTTTTTTGCACCCTACATCCCAGCCCCACGGATCAGCGTGAGTTTTCTCTTGGCTCCTCGTCGGCCCCTCGCTGTGTGTGCCAGATGCATCCAGAACTGGGTCAGGGCGAGCGCAGGCATTTTTATAGCTTTCTCAGACTTCCTCTTTGAACCCTTCAGCCAAGTTGGGTTAGAGCCTGGGGCCACCGATGATTTGACAGCAGGAGGTGTGTTCTTGGATCACACTTGCCCTCCAGCCCATGGTTCTGGTATCAGTCACTGGTTTAGGTCCATACCGAAGGTCGCAGACATTGCAAGCTACCCTTTGCCATTGCAAACCTCGGTTGACCAGTTAACAAACACAGGGTGAAAATGAAGACCAAAGAATGCTGTTGGGTAAGATGCGTGGCTGCTAACCAAAGGGCTGAGAGGTGACAAGACACTTAACCCATTTCCAGCCTCAACAGTTGTTTGCGTTTTCACTTTTGACAAGCTAAACTTACAGACTTGAGTTATGGTTTAAATCATTGTATATTCCATAGAACAACAACCTTGCACCGAATTGGGGTTGTGTAAATGTCCCTGATTCCATCTGTTCTTCCCCTGCCTTTAATACATCTCAGACTGATAGAAGGCTGTCCTGCCTAAACTTTAGATTCCCAAACTCTTTGATTATAAAGGAATTATTTTTATCTATCCTAAATCTTCTGTGTTGCAGAATCAGCCAGTTTCTTCTTGGTCCTTTTAGTGTAAAGATGAATAATATTAAAACTGTCCAGAGCTAAAATCCTGGCAATGCCAGGCTTCCTCTGGGCACAGAGTTGGGGGCGGTGTGAGGCTACAGCTGGCAATGCAGACTCTCACCCATGCTGGCCATGAGCTCAGGGGCACTGCCAACTAAACAGGTTTTTCTTAGAATCAGGGGCAATGACGAAGTCAGAATGTCTACCTCAAGCACAGATTTAAGCTCCCTGGTGTGGTACCATAGGAGCACTTGATCTCAAGGTCGGTTTGAACTGCAAGATCGGTGGTTCAAGCTCACCAGCCACTCTTCAGAAACCCTAAATAGGGACACTGTGAGTTGGAACCGACTTAGTGGCACTTAACAACAACAAACTGGTGTGGTGCTGTAGGGTAATGCACTGGACTATAAGGTTAATTTGAACCGCAAGGTCGGTGGTTCAAGTACATCAGAGGCTCCTTGGAAACCCTATACAGGGTCACTAAGAATCAGAACAGACTCAACAGCACTTATCAACAATACTGCTTTCTTCCTTTGTTTTCAGTTCTTATTTTTAACTTTTTATTGCAAATTGAGTGAAGGTTTACAGAGCAGACCATCAGTTTTACATTCAACAAATCCTGGCCTTTGCTTCATTACTTGTTTGTAGCCCCCTCCATGTACCAACAATTAACAACATTCCCCTCTAGTCACTGACTCTTACACTCTTCCCTGTGCCTCTAGCTACCTTCCTTCCTCTGCTCACCTCCTTCTTGTGTATTGTCTGCCCTGTCACCTACTTCAACATGTGTCTGCCCTCTAGCCCAGGATTAACACTCCCCACCCCTAACCATCATAGATTCTGTTTGGGTTTTTTTTGGGTTTTTTTTACAATTATATAATTCACTGTTCCAAAGCAACCGTGGCACACACCTTTCCCACCTCCCATCCAAACCCTTTACTGGGATCCAGTAGAGATCTTGAGGCTTGAAGTTTTCAATGTGCTTCCATAAATTTTATTTTGCTTGGATATCGTGGCTCACCGGAGCTGTAGCTCATCTGGGGCCGACATAGCTCACCAGGTCTTCCTTCGTTTATTTATTTCTTTTTTTACAGTTTTTAATTGTGAATTGAGTAAAAGTTTATAGGGCAGATCATCAGTTTCAAATTCAACAAATCATACACCTAGTTTCATTACAATGATTAACAGGATTTCTGTCTATTCATTTTAGCTCTTTTTAAAGCACTCATATATAATAATTTATACCACCAAAGGGGACATTCTGTAAGCCTGCCTCCTAGCTGCCGGCACTCAGTCCCTCTCTTTCCATGAATCTAGCGTCCTCAGCTGCTTCCTCTCTCCATGTCCCCATCTCTGCCTCCACCTCTGGTGTCGCTGCTTCTCTTCTTCATTTTTGAACATTGTTTATACACATTTTGTTTCCTGACATTAGTTCCCGTTCCCTCAATGTAACAGCGCTCTCCCCACTTCCTCCCTGGCTCTGCATTTGCCATTCTCCCCTCTTTGTGGTCCTTTCCCACCTTGTGAGCTTTGTTTGATTGTTGTGAGCAGCACGTCTGCATGAGTGTTCCTGTTCACAGCCTGTCTAGTGCTGGGCTGAAAGGTGATTCCCCAGGAATGGGCTCCGTTCCGGGTTTGAAAAGTAACTAAGGGTCTTGGGAGGTCCACTAGGCTCATCAGACCAGCAAATCTGGCCTTATTTTACGATTTTGACATTTATTCTACATTTTTCTTCCACCATACAAGACCTTCCACTGTAATCCCTATCCGAGCACTAGCTGGACACCATCCAGTTCTTCAGGTTCAGACTAGTGGACACTGTGGTCATCCCTTTCTTTATTGCAAATATCCTCCAAAAGAATGTTAGTCATTGCCGTCCAAATGTAGAGGTTCAAACCAGGCTTCAATAATTTCAGGAAACTCAAACCTGGAAATACATACATAATGATGGGGTAGGGTATCCCTGAAATGATCTTAACATGCCAGATAAAGGAATTTAGCTCTCTTGTCGGTAGTTTGTGATAACATCTACCAAAACTTGCCCTCTCATGAAAATTTTGTAGCTGTCTATGGAATGAGTTGCTCTTTCAGGGCATTGACCACGAGGCTCTGACGTGGCCTAGAAGCTCCACAGCTCTCTCTCCACAATGATCCCTTGGTATTTGGTTGGCAGGATGAGACCGGGGCATATCTGATTGACCGAGATCCCACCTACTTTGGTCCTATCCTAAACTACCTCCGACACGGGAAACTCATCATTAATAAGGAGCTGGCAGAAGAAGGTAAGACCAATGTCTGAATCGGGCATTTTCAGCATTCAGGCTGAATCTTTAATGCATCTTGTTTGGAATTGTCATGGTGTTCTCCTATGGCTTGGGGCATCGTTTAGGAACGTCAACAGGACGCTTCCCGTGGCCTATTGCTGGCTAAGAGCATTTTGTGACTGTCCTGCCTCCTAATGAGAAGGGAACTGAGCAGCTCCACTTGCTAGGAAGCTTCAGGGGTTTCTTCTGTGCCAGCGCGGTTGTCATGGTCCCTTTGCACATTGACCTACGTGCTAGCTGTGCATGACCTTAGCCTGTGACAACACATCTCTGACGTTCAGTTATTTGTTAGTTTTAGTTTGAACTTGCAGCCTTTGGGGGCGGGGGAATGAAGACTTGGCCTCATTTCTTTTAAGATTCTGGTCTCACGCTTCCCTGCAAATGTTTGCACCTGACCTCATTTAGTCTCCGATTCATTGTCAGGTGTATATAACATTGGGTGCTTTCGCTTTTCAATTTATAGGGTGTTTGGACTGTGAGTGGGTGTGAACAGCCTTCAGCTGGGTCTCACTGAAGGCCTTGTCTGGAGATTGGGGCCTACTTGTCCATCCAGGGCACCCTGATGTGGGGCCATTGGCTTTGAGTACAGAAGCCATACTAGCCAGGCAAACTTCATGAAGTGACTGTCAAGTGGCTCTGTTTCAACCAGTACCAAATGAGCATCTTCTTTGTTTAATGCCCTTTTATTTATTCATGACTTGTTAGGGAAATCGTTAAATACTTTGTAACAGTGGAGCACCAGCCAACCCACACAGCCGCCATCCAGTCTCAGCAGTGACCACCTGGTGGGCATCTTTTTCCAATGCCTTTTTTTAAAAAAGGAAAGAAAATGGCAAGACTAATACAAAGAATTCCCTTTACTAAGATTGACCAGTTTTTAAGTTTTGTGGGGGGCCATCTTTGTGTTATCATTTTCCCCTGCCCCTCCCTCTCCTATATCGGTGCCATTTTGGAGCAATTTGAGACTAGATGGCAACTGCCAGACAGACCCCTTGACCCCTAACACTTCAGTGCCTGTTTCCCACAAGGCTGTGCTCTTACAGGGCCCTTGTCACATTTAGGAAACTTGGTATTGACAAATACTTCAATCCACAGTGCACGTTCCAATGTGATCCTTTGTTTCCTGGCCCGTGATCACACATCCCACTGAGGTGCTCTGTGTCTAAGCCCTTTGGACTCTGTTCCGAGGGGGCTTCTTTCGATGATTGCCTCGCATTGTGATCGGTCTTGTTAACTTTGCCCACATAAATGCACGCCCTCCCCCCAACTCCTCCAACCCGTAGGTCTTTTTAGGGCAAACTTTGAGTAAAAATGACAGATTTCGGAGCTGTCCACTGTGACTGACTCCAGGAACTGAGCAACATTCGGAGACAGCGTCCTGCAGCTTCCGGGCAGGTGCAGGAAGGAAAGGGTAGAGGTGAGACAAGCAGGCCCTGGGCCCACTCTTCACTGTTGTTTGGGATAAGGTCATGAGTCCACCCTAAACAGCCAAACATTAGTTTTCAGGATGAAGGTAAGAGATTACATTTTCTTTTGAAAAATGCCAGTTTTTCCAAACCCGTTAGCTCCGGGCTCTTCTTGAGGTAAGTTACTGCTTGTTTCTCTGGTGAAGTCAGACCTCTCAAACCACAGTCTGTCCTTGCTCCAGGTGTGCTGGAAGAAGCAGAATTCTACAACATCGCGCCTCTAGTGCGACTGGTTAAGGAAAGGATACGGGACAACGAGAACAGAACTTCACAAGTAAGGGGCTTTTCATTTCTTAAGGAGAAACGGTCTCCAGGGGCTCTCTAGATCCCAAGGTCTGGGGGTGCTGCTTGGCGAGAGCTGGAGGTCTGTGTGGATCACTGTCGAGTGCCGCGCTCATAGAACACACTCAGCCAGACACAGCAGGCTTAGCACCAATAATTGTTCAGCATGAAGAAATAGAGAAGAAATAATAAGGGGGTTGGGGGAATAGCCCCGTATCTGTCCCTTTAGAAGAATCAGGAGATTGTCGCTAGTCACCACTGGACAGAGCCAAACCCTGTTCTCTGTGACTGAGAATCTGTCTCCCTCGACATAAAGACCCAACAAGATCTCATCTGAACCTTTGGCCACTCTTTACTAGGAAGAGCCTTTAACACATGACCATATCGTATCCGTGGGAGAAAGAGGAGGCTTTCTGCTCCCACAAAGAGTTTAAAGCCTTGGAAACCGTACACAGGGTTGATAGGAGTCGGAGCTGACTCAATGGCACTTAACACACACCAGGACATATCCAGCTCCTGCGAGCCAGGTGAGGGGGCGTCTCAGAGCAGAGACTTTAGAAGCTGCTTCTAAGATAAAAAAAAAACACTCAACTTCTCTTTCTGTTATGAAGTCTCCGTTCTTATATAGTATCAAAAATGAAGCCAGACTGTGTCCCCAAGTTTGAGCAGGGAAGACAGGGTACATACTTAGCTCATTTCCCGTCATATGTGTTGGAGTGCCCACAGTCCTCCTTGGGATTCTAGGGAAGAAGGTCCTTACCCCCAAGAGGCTTAAAGTCTAGCAGCAAAAACAGACATTCCCTTTTGTGTATTTAAGCTACAAGTTAACGTCTGACTGCACCAGGTTTCACGAGACAACTCAGTTAATTGGCCTGACGACATGCTCGATGTGTCAGTGCTACCTCCTGGTTCACCGGGTGGTACCTGGGGTCTTCAAAGCTAGCAGCCAGTCCTCCAAGGCACAATACTTGGTCTCACTTCACCTGGAGCCACCTAGGGAGAAGGAGAGTCAGGAATAGGAGGAGGAGATGGAAAGCAGGGCTGACTGCCTCCTCTGCCGGGAGCCCCAAAGAACTGAATGGTGCGGTGCCAGACTTCCGTAACCGAGCATGCTGATCAAAGATTCTGTACAAGAGTCCTGATCCAAGGAGGGGAAGTGCAGAACAGAATTTCAAATTCTCATGGAATCCAAACTCTGGAGCCACAGAGGTTGGCTGAACCCCCAAAACTATTGCCTTGAGAAAATCTTTAAACTTTATTTATGTCTTAAATGAACACTGTCCCTTGAAGTCTTCTTAAAACCAAACCACACTTAGGCTGAAGGAGTAGGATGTCTGTCTTGAGCACTGTGCTCTTTTAATAACTAGCTATCCGGAATCAAAGTGACAATAGCAACTCAGAAGTTTACGTAGGGATCTTAGGACGCGGTGTTTCTATTAAGGGAGAAGCCACAACTCAGAAAAGGAGGGTAAGAATGGCTGCAAAACTCAAAACATGTTATCAGTGTTACAGAATTGTACCTGGAGAAACTTGAATTAGTGTGTTTTTCTGTGTACATTCTCAACAAAAAAAAAATGAAGAACAGACAACACTTAAGAGTTGCAGTAAGAGAACAGAGATCTACGCCACAGTGACCGTCTGCCCTTCTCCCACGAGAGCGAGACACTGGCGCTGCAGGATAACGCACTGGACCACAAAAGTTGGTTTGAACCACAAGGTCTGCGTATCAAACCCACCAGCCACTCCTCAGAAACCCTACACAGGGTCAAACCCCACTCAATGGTGCTTAGCAACAACGAGAGAACAATGCATTGTTTCAAAAATCTAAAGTAGCACCTTGCCCCTTCTGTGGAAGACTCCATATGTCAGAGTTTTCTGGTTCTAAATGGAATCATCTTGATCAATAACTGACACCTATGATAAAAAAGGAGCTCTGGTAGCGTAGTGGTTACGAATCGGGCTGTGAACCTTAAGGTCAGCGGTTCGAAACTACCAGCCGCTCCGAGGGAGAAAGATGAGGCTTTCTACTCCCGTAAAGATTTACACCCTCAGAAACCCTGTACAGGGTCGCTATGGGTCAGAACCGACTCGATGGCACTTAACAACATAACAACAATGATAAAAAATGAATTCTGTTTTCCACATTTTCTTCAGCCAGCAGTTTGCAAAGGCGGACAAAAGGGCTTCCTCACTGAGTTCTTTTCCCATTCTCACCCATCTAGCCAGTGATGTTCAACGGTGAATGGAACGGACCCTTGTTTGCAGATTATCATATCATGTGATCTCATGCTACCAGTCCTCTCTGTCTTCTACTTCGGTGGTGTCTGTCACCATTGGATATTTGACAGCTTAAGACATTTTGGAAATCTAGCCTTACCTTCAGTGTTCCACATTCCAAAATAACTGTTGATGGCTTACTGTCATTTTGATGGTACCGTGGATTGTCTAATATGAAACCATTCAAATGCAAGTACCTGGACAGTCTCCGCTTTTTTGCCATTAGCTAGTTCCTAGAGAGCATTGTAAGATATCTTTTTGATGGTGGCAATTAAGTTAATTACTCCTCCAGATTTTGAAGGCTTGTGGATTTAGACCCAGTTGGAAGCTTTTTTATTGTTGTTGTAGGAAGTCGAGACCTTTTTGATGTTAATTGATCTGTGCATCTGTCCTTTTTATTTGGTGGAACTGAGAAGTGGGTTTGATGCTGTTCAAAGACGCCCTTCTTCCCTCCTCTGCTCATACATGGCTACCTCTAAGGTGAAGGGCTGTGAGCTGGGCTGTGGGTGGGGTTCTCCAGCTGTCCCTGCAGACACATTAGCTCCTCTGACTTGTGGCTGTTCCTCACACCTGGCAAAGGCCAAGACCTGAGACGTCTGACTTTTCTTAATGACTTCCCAGTCTTTGAGTAGCTGCCAGCATCCTTTTGATGCCTCTGGGGTGATTTTCCTGGAAAAAAGAGAGCGAGTGTGCCAATATTGGCATCTTAATTCACAACTATGACCAATATCATAGATTTTTTTGTATTTTCCATTGTAGTAATAGCTGGTTGTTTCCGAAATGTGTGGCTACAGCCAATTGGGTTCTTTAGGGAATTTGTCCTCTGTTCTACATGGAAGGTTTTTTGTTTGTAAATCTTAATACTGATACGAGTACGTCATCATTTAGAAGGAGAAAACATAGACTAACCTAGAAGAATGCAGTCTTGTCAGGCAGATCTGGGTTCATGTCCCACTTAGTAGCCGGACAGTGTGGGGAGGAGGCACCTGACTTTCTAACACCACGATCCTCCCAAGTCAAAGGGAACACACGCCCTGCCCGTGGCGCAGTGACGGCTGGAGAAGGGCGGTGATCTGGGTTCGCAGCTCTCCGTGGTCAGCAGTGACTTTGATCTGTCCAGGGCTGTCTGAGTAGTGGTGGCTCCAGAATTCGTGTCCCAGATAACTGAAGTTCAGGCCTCCTTTTGAAAAAGTAATACAAGTTTTTATCTTCTTTAAAAAAGTTTTTATTGGTTTAGGTTTCTGGGAAGTCTAAGGCATGACTAGATTTAAGGATTTGAAGTGGTCGTCATCCTTACAGATGATCCTTCGCCATTTCTTCCCTCTGCTTCCTTCTTGGTTGGCTTATTTATTTCAGTAGATTTCTTAATAATTTGTCTTGTCGAGAATATACACAGCAGAACATACCAATGCAGCTGTTTCTACAGCACAATTCATTGATCACATTCTTCAAGTTGTGTAACCCTTCTGGCCTTTCTTTTCTGAGTCCCCCTCCCCCTGACCCCCACCCCTACACCCTTCACATCGTCACATAAACTCACCGTCCCCCAAGGGTCCTGGCTCATCTTTGGAGTTGTTGCTACCCATCTGCTCCCATAGAGCTGGGTCATAGAGGAGCTCAGGGCTCAAGACAGACATTCTTTACTGGTGAATATTTTTGGTTTAAGGTTTGAAGATCTTGGGGCAGTAGTTTCAGGGGTTCAACCAACCTAGCTTTTATCACGTTTAAAGAAGCATTCATAATATCCTCAGCGGCATCTTGAACAAAGATGGCCCCCTCTCCGTGACTGTTGGGGTCCCTCACTATTGGGGTGTTCCTGTCCCCCCAGCCCCCCGGGACCAGTGGTGGACCTGGCAATGTGAGGTCCCAGGTCCTAAACATAACCACTTGTGTCGTCCTGTGAGTGTCCGTCCACCTGGTGAGCTTGCCTCCTTGCAGCCAGCCGTGTCCCTATCGCAGTGTGAGTCCTGACTCCCCCGGGCTGGGCCAGCTCTGCCGGGGGGCTGGGGGGTGGTGGAGAAGCTGTCACGCTGCAGCTGCCTCTGGGCGGATCATCCGTCTTGGTGCCTCAGCCTTTTGCCTTCCAGTTGCAACTTCAGTTCGAAAAAGTTGAGCCTGACCAGCTATAAGACCCCTAACAAAGGTCTGTCTCCAGTTAGCACTGGTGGCCTTCATTTAGCACTTCTTTCCTTGGGTGGCCTCCAGACACGGTAAAAAAAAGTCTAGTATCCCTGTAGTATGATATCACAAGGAACAAACCCGATGCCGTCTCCACTGTCAGCATGTAAGGGACAGTGTGAGTGATTTCAGGAAAAACCAGGGCTTCCCAGGCAGAGCCACTTACCTCCGTTTCCTTCTGAGGGCGGTCGAGAAGCTGGACATATTGTCATCATGGTTGCTCACCTGACTCAGCCCTCTGAAGTTCAGAGTGGGTTACTCACTGAGCCCTGTTCCTGGGTCCTCTGTCTTTCCTTAGATCAGCTTTTAGAGGAAAAACTACAGTGCTGCTTGTAAAGGGGAGGGGAGTGTGGCTGGATGGGACAGCTGCCAGGGAATAAAACCCCCTTGCAGACTGGAGCCAGCGGTAAACTGCCCTTGATGGTTGGTTCTCCTACACCTGTCTCTGGTTGCCATAGGGCCCCGTGAAGCATGTGTACAGAGTCCTGCAGTGTCAAGAGGAGGAGCTGACACAGATGGTCTCCACCATGTCTGATGGATGGAAATTTGAACAGGTACGTCTCTCTCTACCTAGGAACGCCCCCCACGCCCCTTCAGACAGTCTCCTTCCGTAACTAGCTAGCAGCCCTGTGTGATTCCATTTGAGAATGTGGACAGAGAGCCACTCAGCATGAATGATCTGCTCTGTGGTCCATGAGGTGTGCAAGATGAGTTGGAGAATGAGCAATAGTACCTTGTCCCCAGCTTCATAGCTCAGGTTTTCAGCTCGAGTGTGTCCACCGGGAGCCGGAACCTCACTGTAGAGTAAGTACTTAGAGAAGATGAGGACTCAACGCCCCTTCCTTGCCCAACCCAGGGCCAGAACCATGTAATTGTGCTACCAAAAGAGCATGGTGCACGGGTGTGATGTGAACGGAGCCCTCCCTGTCTCCGTGGTTCTTCTGCTTTCCGTTTGTATGATGGAGGTATTAACAGCAGCTGAAGAAAGGAACCGAGAATCTGAATTATACTGCTTTCTTCCACCAGGTGGCAGAATTGTTCAATTCATTCATTGCTATCAAAACATGGGGAGACTGAACATGAACAAAACGAGTCGGTTATTTTATCTGGGTCATGCCTGGTGTTAGGTAGAGGGCACTGGAATTGTCACCATCAACTTGGTTTCTAAAATAAAAGCCACTATTTGTGCTAACCCTGGAGAAAGATGAGGCTTTCTGCTCTCATAAAGATTTACAGCCTCGGAAACCCTAAACAGGGTGGCTGTGAGTCGGAACTGACTCCATAGCACACAATAAGTAGTGATAACGGTGTTTCACAGGCTAAATTGGAATCTGCTCTTCAGCTTTGTCTTTGGAGTTAACAGTGGATTCTTTCTTAAACTTGTTCTTGTGTTTTTTCCCTGTGTGCTATTCTGTCTGATGTCTGTCACCTAGGTCTGGTTCTTCATGCCAGGGTTACAGGGTGTTGTCAATGGTGTATCATTCTCTATTCTGGAAGCATGTTCCCTAATAGGAAGTCTTGTAGCAAAGATGTTGTAAAAAGTATACTTTGTGAAACTAATGAAGGGTTCCTCTTCATTCTCCTCGGGCCTTAATGATGCCGTAGGGGAGGATGAAGTAGCTGCCATTGGCTCCCTTGCCTGGAGGAGGGTGCTACAGCACAGAGAGACCCCGCTGCCCAGTCCAGCCACATAGCAAGTCAGTCATGGTCCCCTCATTGTAGGTCACAAGGGCCTCACCCTTGGCCTCAGCTTCTCCCTCTGCATGTATGTTTCCAATTCCGAAATAAACCCTGAATTAATTCTCCAGGAAAGTCAAAAGTACAGCAGGATACAGTTTGGGGGTGCTGTCTGGTGATTCACTCAGTGCTTTCCAGATCTATCCGGATGCCCGTCTCCTTTCTCCGACTTCTGCCTCAAATGAGCCAGCTCCGTGTAGGTGTTTTGGCTGGGAGTCAGATGCTCCTTCTCATGCACAGACACAGTCTGTCTCGCCCCAGTGCTCCATACAGGGAGATTCTTGTCGCCCTAACACCTAATTCCTACTCAGAATCCAATTCTGAATTGCACTTAATGTCATTGAATTACAGTGCTCAAGACAGGATTTACATGCGAAATTTAAGATGAGAGATTGTGCATTTGTGTCACAAAGTATGCCTTGTCGCCTTTTCACGGTATCTTTGGTTTAAGACTGTTGTTACGTGCTATGGAGTTAGTTCCAACTTAGAGTGACCCTTTGCACAACAGAATGAAACACTGCCTTTATAGCCCCCATTTTCGATAGTCAGTGTCTAGGTTGCCCGTCCCTGTCAACCCAGTGCACTGAGGCAACAAGCTTCTTCCTTGATAGGAAGTATCCTTCCATTCCGATTGGAATTTTAAGATACATTTTGAAATGTTCTTTTGATGATGAATGTGAAGCCATACCTCTTCAGTTAGTCATTTCTGGCATAGTAGACCACATGACTCAGATTCAGAGTGGACAATGCCAGTCCATTTCACTCACTAATGCCTAGATCTAGATCTTTATGCGGTCCATTTCATTTTTGACAACTTCCAATTTTCCTAGATTTCATACTTCATACACTCCCCGTTCCGATTATTAACAGCTGTTTCTCCTCATTTAAAGTCATGCCCCCTCAGCAAATGAAGGTCCTGAAAGCTCTACTCCATTTGCATCATCACGGTCAACTTTACTTTGAGGGGGCAGCTTCTTCCCAGTAATATTTTTAGTGCCCTCCAACATGAGGGGCTTATCTTCTGGCACCTTATCTGACAAGATTCTGGTGTTCTTCATGTTTCAGTAGTCAGTGGTCTGGTGCTGACCGTGTTCCACTGCTCTTCATAAGGCTTTCAGTGGCTAAACATTCAGGACTAGCCCATTTCTCCTCCTTCCTTGTCTGTCTTAGTCTGGAAGCTCAGTCGAAACTTGTCCACCATGGGTGACAAACGGCTAGTATTTCAAATTCTGGGAGCATAGCTTCTAGTATTGCCGCAACTCACAAGCCACCACAGTACTATACAGTGACAGACAAGTAAAACTACATCAGGCAAAATGGCTGCCTGTGGGATTCTTCAAGTGCTTGGGCTCAAGGGCAGCAGAGGGAAGCCTCGGTAGTACAGCCCTGACAAATCCCGTTTTGCCCAAGGGGTTTGCTGCCACTAGTGAATTCTTCGTCTTTTGAGAAGCACGGTGACCACGTTCTGTTCAGTCAGGGGAGGGGTGGATTTTGGGTCCTTTTAGTGTTTTAAGCTCACTGCTTGGCTGTTCACCATGTTTACATCCTCTCAGCTAATCAGCATCGGGTCTTCCTATAACTATGGAAACGAGGACCAGGCAGAATTCCTCTGTGTTGTATCCCGAGAACTAAATAACTCTACCAATGGCATTGTCATCGAGCCTAGTGAAAAGGCAAAGGTAAGGAAGTTCTCCAGGGGGATGGTACCCC